TGGAACTCGCGAACGGTAAGTCGTATGACCAATAAATTTTCAGAGAATGGTGTACTAGTGAAAATTTATCATATCTACAATTTTTATGTCGTTATGACGTAATATGACGTCATTATGACGTCATTAATGTGATTTTATTGGCCAAAACCGTCTAAATAGGTTTTTCCCTGAAAACCAAAATGTATTCAACATAACTGTACCAAAAGTGTTTATGACAGAATATTATGATGTACTAAGTCTTATGTTGCCCAAAGCAAAACCGGTGACGTCATACAATGACGTCATGCATATTTAAGATATCCGCCATCTTGGATCATCAATCTTGAATTTTCAAAAATAGTTTTTTTCATGATAAAGCCTAAAATACATCGTTAACATACTAAAGACCTTCATTTAAACCTTTTTTGGAAAAAGAAAGGGAAGTATTGATGAAATTTTAATGAAAATAACCTGTATATACCTGTTCTAATGATATGGTCCGCCATCTTGGATTTTGGCCAATGACGTCATCAAATTAGCATAAATTATGCATGTTTAATGATAAAATTTACATAAAATTATATGGAATGTTATTAATATTAGAAACCATGAGTAACTTGACATAAAACCCATAAAATTCTATTGTTGAAACAAAAAGTACTAAATTTAGCAAAAAATGCCTGTCAGAAACCCGTTGCCATGGCAACACAAAAAATTATTATCTTATTCCAATGATAGAGAATTGTTGCCAAAAATATTTTAGGAAAAGTCACCAAGTTTGGCCGTTCTACGGCTAGCCGTTCAGACGCTAGGTGACATCAAAGTTGCCGCGGGCACTTTTACGCCCCCCCCCCGGTCTAGGTAGGGTTAAATTGGTGTGGCGTTAGTGACATCCGCATTTATTTCCAGGCTGGTACATGTTAGCAGGTGGAGAACCAAAAAGCCACGCGGCAGCCCAGGAGGACTCTTGGCACAAAATTCTTCATTTCTTTAGGACTTATGTAGACAGGAGCAGACCATAAAGCCAACTCAAGACCATGGTCTCACTCTCATTATCAACTACATATACTTGATTGTTCTACTATTTACAGCCGATATTTCCATGACCGTCTGTCATCTGTTATGTAATAGTATGTTAACCTGACATGTAAATATAGTACACAATGTAATTATAGTAAACGCAGGACGACTAGGCCAGATTGCATAGCTTGTTTTTTTTAACGTTAGAACGCAACATCTGTTATGTAATAGTATGTTTATCTGATGTGTAACTGACACTGTTAACTGCTACCTGTTCCGAATTGTTTATGTTCTTTTTGTGAGGGCTAGTCCTTTATAATAGCCCCCGGCTAGTTAGGCAGACCTGGCTGTATACATATGTCTTATTCAGCCTAATAAATCAAATCAAATCAAATCTTCATCAGGGCAGTTACATGTATGTCTGTTTCAGATCACTGTTACCGCTAAAGTCACGGCTGGCTGTAGGATGGCCGGCAGTTAAAAACTCGCAGTATCAAAACTCCCACCCGCCCGGAGCCTGTACAGGAGGCTAGTAAAGTCGAAAAACCTAGTAGAGAATTTTTAAACATGCTGTTATCATGCCCCGACTCTGTATCTGTTTATCTAGGTTTTAAATATGTACATGATGCTATACAAAGGCGAAACAATATCACAGCAGTGTGAAATGTAACGGACTCCATAACATATATATGTATTGAAGTTAGATTTATAGTACACTAGTTGAGGTTCAAGGCCAAGCCACTCTCCAAGACTTATCCATTGAGTCCTGGGAGAAAGTAGCAAGTGATAGAAGTAAGTGGAAAGTAGCAATACACAAAGGGACAAAACTCTTCAAAGCTACCAGAGAGACCAGGAAGGCAGATGCAAGGAGTGGACGAAAGGGACTTCTGGAGGAGAAAAGCGCCACACAGGAGTACTGCTGCCGGTTCTGCGGCAGAGCCTGCAGGGCCAGAATCGGTCGTACCAGTCATGAGAGGCGCTGCCCAGGCCCCCTGAGAACGACTGATGCTGCAGATCGTCTGGCAAGACGACAAGGGCCCAAGATGTAATGAAGTAAGATTAGTACACTAGTAGAAATAGTTTATAGTTATTAAGTGTTGTTTGCCATACAATGTATGCATTGCAATTGTTGCGCAATGCACTTGACTTGTGTAGATTGTAAATGTGTAATAATGGATTTCTGAATGTTTTACAGCGAGTTAAACTATGTTACTTGGAGTGTAGTAAGCCATTGTTTAAATGTGATCAATATTAGAAATTCTCTGTAATAAGGACGAAATTTGGGTGTGGTGCCAACGAGAATAAAGATTTTGACTTTTTTTATGATTTAGAAAAAAGCACAGTATTAGTAGTAGCTGTGATTGGTTATTTCTCATTAAGAACATTAAAGTCTTTGTAAAAACACTGGAAATACAAACCGGAAAACACACCGTCTAATACATGGATAATTTTAGATCTAAAAGTGTTATACATAGTCGTAAGTTTTTTTCTTGACATATTAATTAGGTATATGTAATAGATATACATATTATTAATACAGCTCTTCACTTATTACAGGATTATCATTTTTTTTACAATAACTCAATCCATACGTCATGATGAGAATCGTATAACATCATCGAAATAACATTTGACAGACATAAAATCGTATTGTATTGTCGGTAACACAATGTTGAAATTTTCTGTCTTACAACATATTTGTGTCAGAATTGCTAGTGCTGGCAGGTTTCCTGTTTAGAAGTGTTACAATGTAGAATATAGGGCTTTTCCTGTATCGGTTAGTTTCGTCGACAGGAAAATAAATGTCCAAACTCTTCCTATATGTAAGAGAATGGTATTTGGGAATGCTACGTTATAATAATAATAACACTTACAACATTCACAGGTAAATCAAACTACACTACTGGGCAAATTACGCAGATAGGATTAGTTTCATGTGTCTTTTAATATTGTTTACCTGGATGCTGAACCTTCATCAACGCAAGGGCATTATACAGAATAATGTCCTTGATCAATGTAATAAGCGTTTTCAACTTCCTGGTAGAGTGCTCTAGCCTGAACTCCAACCTTCGAATGCCTAGCTATAGGTCCGCTGCCCAATTCGGAGACCAGGCATCGTAAATAACCAAACAAAAAAATTTAAAAAAACGTCTAAAAAGTTTTGCATGGTAAGTAGATGGTTTGGATTTCCGGTTAGCATATAAAATGAATGGATGACCTTTAATGAATGACGACCTTTATTGCACATTTTTGCCACATTGAGCTAAGTACTGGTCAAAACAAAACATGATGAAAAGATATATACAAAATAAAACTAGCTATCATTACATGAATTCAACTTCTCTTCGCTTTTCAGTTATCGTAGAGATAAAGGAACAGATTATGTTTTTCGATGGAAGGCTTGTCAAGTCGCATTAGGAATATGAATTTTTCTACAGTGCTCAAGTGTATGAAGTGAGGAAATAGATTTTGTACAAGCCTATACAGATCATTTCTCTTTACTATATAATCTAAAGTCTATAACAAAGTGACATTCGTCTTCTATTCTATTCAAATTACAGTGCAAAAAAAAAAAAGCACGATAAAAAAACACGCCAAAATAAGCCAAAACCCAAAACTCTGCAACATTTCAGTTGTAGCCGCCGGCGTCCGGATACAGGTGTTTTGGAAACTTAGTATCGATCTGACTAGCGTCTTGTTTATGTGGGCGGGTCTGTTCACTGATAACCATCCCTGTACACGGCCCGAGAAATCCTGCCAGTCTAGGAGCTGCAGTTTCTGTTGCCGTAGACAAGTCGATGACGAGTAACGTAACGTAACGTTTCAGCTTCTGCCAAGAGCTGCCTGTCTCGCACAACATCATAGGAAGTCGTAAGTATCCAAACTAACTCGTGTTCTCTAGATCTTTGCCTGGCTTTTCATGCTATTTTATTTTTTTCTCAATATCGATCCGAAAAAAATGCACCTGAAACCGCCGTCAATTGTGTACTATCTATCACATCTTCAACTTCTAAACTTCTAGAGCGTGTTAGCGTTTGTGTATTTAAATCAAACGTAAGCTATTATCCTCCATTCTGTTCTGATGTTTCCAAATGAACAAGACTGTTTAAAAGACAAAATGGGCAGCCATGTTGGAATACTATTGTTTATATCATCAGTCATTTTGTTGACGAACACGTTTAACATCCTGGTACATGCAGTGTATAAGGTCCTGTCACATGTAGCCAAAATGGCCTCCCGAAAACTGCCGAACTCCCCTCAACCATGGTTTGGTAGTAGGTCGGGAGCAAGGTCGGTCTTTATTATTTTTTTAGAAGCAAAGAACAGAGGACGTGTTAACATACAAGAAAAATAAATACGCAGAGACATTTTGCAAACAATACATTAATCTAAGAATTTACCATACAGTGGACCCCATTTCAACATATGTTTATCCATTTTCCCAAAGTTCTGTGCTGTCATATATTCTAATCTGTGATAGTATTTAACATAGCCTATGAATCCTTTAATCGTAACAAACTTGTACTGTCAGTTCTTATATATAAAACGTTTCAATATTAATAACTATGTGTTAAGGACAATAGGATGATTAACTGAAATGCCTAGTATGATAATTCTGGGTGTAAACTTGACTTCTGTATCAACATGTTGTTTTATCCAAAATTCTACATCCCCCAGAAATTTCACAAGAGTGGTACAGTGGCAAAAAATATGTAAAGGTGTTTCTTCTTCTAAATTACAATAAGAACATAATGAGTCCTCTGCTAAATTTGATCTATATGACTTGTTTTGAGAGTAAGAAAGTTGGGTAACAATTGTTAAAACATTTTGAAATATTTGAGTAACTCAGTCGAACACTAGTCGACCTTACCGTACACCAGCCGACCGTGCTCCCGACCAACAATTGTTGGGGGGGGGGGGGAGTTCGGCTAGTGTTCGGGCCATATTCATCTACGTATGACTGTTATTGAATGAATGAAGACCTTTATTGTACACACATACCCACTGGGTTTAGTACAGGTCACAAAAAGGATGGAATGCAGATAACGTTACATATATACATCGTCAAGTAACTACAATCAAGTAATTATTCGGTTTCTTCTCGTTTCTTATGGCAAAAAGGTAAGAACAGATATGTTTCAATATAGAAGGTTTGTCTAAGCTCATTAGAAATATAAATTTATCTGTGCAGCTTAGATGTATAAAGAAGGGGAACAGAGATTGTATCAGATTATAAAGTTCTGCTCTCTCTTTGTGGTATAGTTTATATTCTATTACAAACTGTTATTGTGTTTGTATACAGTTGAGGTGGCATGGGGAGGAGTGTACAGTTGTGTGTGTATGTTCTAGCAACAGTTCTTGGAGCAGGAAAAACAGGTAATGAAACACATCATTTGATATGAAGTTTAAGCTTCGTTTCAACAATGTCAAGAAGAAAACTCACCATAAAGTTTTAGTCTTATTTTGGGAATATTTCAAACGTTTCAAGTATGAAATGAAGAAAATGTGCCAAGAAATGGCAGTGAATCTCAATATTTTCAATATCACTTTATTGAGAATTGCAGTGTATCACTGAATTCTGTCCAATTTACACAGTTTAAAAACAATTCAATACATACAAACAGTATTTTACATGATAAAATACATTGACAATTATAAAGACTGTAATTAAAATGGCAATGGTGTAAAAGACACAGCACATCTAAGGGATATAGATTGTAGTAAATATACATCTGCTCGAATAAAAGTTACAAAACTTACGTCTGATGTATTACGTTATCAAGGATTGTTGAATAAACTGCACATGTACGGTACAGGCGAGTATCTGTTGGTTCCTGTTATGGACAGTTTGTCCAACCCCATTTCGGACATATTTCTTGATCCAGAATATTTTTGTTTTGCCACCCAGAATTTGCATTGGATGCCTTTGGGTTAAAGGATATTCGTAACAGCTTCTTCACCTTTCTGACGGCATTTCCCATTTAATCATTTCTGTTTTATTTAATCAGGTTAGAAACCTCAGTGCTATTTAACCCTATCTAGACCGGGCTTTTTTGAGCAAGATTTGACCGGGGGGGGGGGCTCTTTCGGCCCCCCCCTCAGAACTCGCTAACGGTATGTCGTATGGCTACCAAATTTTAGAGGATGGTGTACTAGTTAAAATTTATTATATCTACAATTTTGATGTCATTATGACGTAATATGACGTCATCATGACGTCATTAATGGGATTTTATTGGCCAAAACCGTCTAGATAGGCTAATCCCTGAAAACTAAATGGTATACAACATAACTTTACCAAAAGTGTTTATGACAGAATATTAGAGTGTACTAAGTCTTATGTTGCCCATGGCAACAACGGTGACGTCATAAAATGACGTCATACATATTTAAGATATCCGCCATCTTGGATCATCAATGTTGAATTTTCAAAAATAGTTTTTTTTCGTGATAAAGCCTAAAATACATTGTAAACATACCAAAGACCTTCATTTAAACCTTTTTTTGGAAAAAGAAATGGAAGTATTGATTAAATTTTAAGGAAAATAACTTGTATATACCTGTTCTAATGATATGGTCCGCCATCTTGGATTTTGGCCAATGACGTCATAAAATTAGCATAAATTATGCATATTTAATGATAAAATTTACATAAATTCATATGGGATGTTATTAATATTAGAAACCATGAGTAACTTGACATAAAACCCATAAAATTCTATTCTTGAAACAAAAATTACTAAATTTAGCAAAAAATGCCTGTCAGAAACCCGTTGCCATGGCAACACAAAAAATTATTATCTTATTCCAATGATAGAAAATTGTTGCCAACAATATTTTAGGAAAAGTCACTAAGTTTGGTCATTCTAGCCCTAGCCATTCAGACGCTATGTGACATCAAAGTTGGCGCGGGCACTTTTACGCCCCCCCCCCCCCCCGGTCCTAGATAGGGTTAAACCACTGCTGCTTTTCAGGAATGCTCTGTACAACAAGTGACACATTCGTTTATTTCGATACCCTTTAGTCCATGACTAGACTTCCAGGGTTCAAAACATAAACACAGTCATGCACATACTGACAACAAAATAAAAGAGAATGGATGGCCTGAAAATAATGAAATGGACACATTAACAATAATTGGAAATTTTACTTGCCAAATCATGCCCGAAGGCTAATTGCTTGTACAATCAAGTATAATACTCATTGCAATACAGTAACAGGAGACAGGTAACAACTGTCTGGAAAAAACTTCTACTTCTACTACTACGCTAGCTATTATGGGGTTCGACTTCTTCTTTGAAGGCAGGGGATAATGAATCTGCAAAATTATTGTGTTTTGTGGTCTTAGTAGAAACGTAGTGTTTTGGTGATCTTCTAAATGACGAAATGGTAACTGTCTGAAATAATCTGTTTCTTTCGGTCTCATAGTGAGGACACTGGCTAAAAAACTGCATTTCATTTTCCACTGCATTCATTGGACAATATATAATAATGTAATACATATTGGACAATAATATAATACATAACGTTACAACATTTAGAAGTGTCCCAGCTGTGTCCGGACCCACACAGCCACTACTCGGCGTGTAGCCCGGTCTGCCCGCCCACCTGCGCAGACCCGGTGCCGGCCTGTGAGCCGGGATGTGCGGAGGGGTGCGTCTGTGATGACGGGTACATCCGGGGCTGGGACGGGACCTGCATCAACAAGACAGACTGTGGCTGTTTCAGCAACGGGAATCACTACAAGGTGAACATGCTAGTTCTAAATACTTTATTTTCTTATCGACTTTACCCTATAACTGACCTCTGTGTGTATGTGTGTGTGTGTGTGTGTGTGTGTGTGTGTGTGTGTGTGTGTGTGTGTGTGAATTTGTGTGCCTATATTTTTGTGTTTGTGTGTGTATTTACGCGAGAGCGCCGTCTAAGTGAAATGGGAGTGTAACTGTTTTTTGTGTGTGTATCTTATCACCTGGATGTCTAACCTTCACCGACGTGTGTTTGTGCTTCTCTGTGTGACTGTGTGTGTGTGTGTGTTTGTGTAATACGTTTGTGTGTGTTTGTGTGTGTGTGTGTGTGTGTGTGTGTGTAGTGCGTGTATGCATGTATATGTGTATGTATGTGTGTGTGTGTGTGTGTGTTGTTGTGTGTGTGTGTGTGTGTGTGTGTGTGTGTGTGTGTGTGTTTGTGTGTGTGCCCAACGGTCGTGAAAATAATGTCTTATGTTCCACCCTGTTGTGTTCCAGACAGACGAGGTGTGGCTGACTGCGGACTCCAGCTGGTGCAGGTGTCTCACTAACAACTCCGTCTCCTGTGACGGGAGCTGTACCCGGACTGACCCTGTCCTGAGTGACGACATCGATAACGACTGTGACGGGCGGGTGGACGAGGAGCTGCTTAACGGGCTGGACGACGACGGAGACGGGGAGATAGATGAGGATATCGGTTAGTCATAATATTGAATGAATGAAAGACCTTTATTGTACATTTTTGCTCATTACGAACTAAGTACAGGTCATGTTAAATAACGATGGCAGACTAAAATATGCCTATAGTAAAACTACATATGTACAGGTTCTGCTTCTTCTCGTTTCTTTTCTATCTAGAAATCTAAAACTAGGGAAATGATCTTGTATACAATTGAAGAGAACATTCTCTCATTATTATATAGAGTACAGTCCACAATAAAATGACTCTCGTCTTCAATCTCATTTAGGTTACAGTAATGACAAATTCTTTGTTGCAGAGGAATCTTAATCTTTTAGCATTTAATCAATCAATCAATCAATCAATCAATCAGTCAATCATTCGACTACAGAACTCTTTCCTTCACCAGTCAATCAGACTATCAGACTCTATAAACAAACTACACAGATAGAGACTGGCACAAGATAATGAAGCTTGTAAATATCTGGGTTGTACAGTTACTGCACTGTTTATAGTTTTGTAAATATATATATATGATATTTGACATGTTTGTCTCTTATGTTTGGTATCTTAATAAAGAATTCAGTTCAATTGAGTTATATTCGGTACCAAGAACGGCAATCAATCATTCAATCAATCAGTCAATCAATCAATCAATCAATCAATGATGTCAACATGATGTCAACATGATGTCAACATGCACAGGTATCGCTACTAGTAGGTTGATCTGTTCCAGTCAGTTCTGGTGAACCCCAGCCGGTGAAGTGTATCGTACTGTTCTTCGGCTAAAAATGACTCACTGGAATTTTTAGCCGAATCTCTGGGTCTTCATCAACATCCTGCTCCAACTGCTGTAGACACGTGATTAATGTTTTTCACACGTTTGACGTCAGAACCGGGTCAAAGTTCGTCGGAAGTCGGTACCGACCCCCATCAAATTTTAAAACTTCCTAACTCAGGTGACTCATGCTATGTTGAAAGAATATGTTTGTGTTTACCGAAGGAAAACATATTGTTTTTGCTCAGTTTCTTCCTCCTCTTCTCCAAACAGTGACCTCTGACCTGACCAATGACCTGATTTGTTGACGTCTGTTACCATGGTAACTGGTGTTGGGTTACATAATGTTGCAATTTCATGGTCTGCTCTGGACCTATTAGACTCCTGTCACCGTATACTATTAGTACATGTATGTGAATGTGTTAGAATAAGAATAACAGAGCAGACCATATCCAAAGGTAAACATTATGCATTTGCTTTGCAAATGTTACTTTTCTAGCTGTTGTTTGTTTTCAAACGAAATGACTCTCTTTCTATTTTGGATCTTAACAGTTGGCAGCTGCGGGATCGACATAGTGTTTGTTATCGACGGGTCGTGGAGCATCGGGCCGGAAGTGTTTGAGAGAATCAAGGGGTTTGTACGGGAGATTGTCGGCTGTCTGGACATCGGAGAAATTCAGGTTCTACACAGACTCTTAAACCTTTGGTTAGGTTTTCCATTCGTGCTTCTTGCTATATGTTAACTTATTCAGAGACGTACAGACATGCAGGTTTCTTTTTTTAATTCTGCGTAAATCTAGCATTTGGTACTGTAACCATTGCATAGTTAAGATTTAGATACATTATCACTAGCTAGCAACGCATAACTAACAAGCTAGGGAATCGGAAGTTTCAGGGGCGTGAAGAATGCAGTCCTCGAGTTTCTGAATTCCCCATGACCTTTACTTTCTTCTGCCTCCTGGATAAAGTTTTAGACCCCTGACCTCCAGTTATTCGCTCTGTCTGTCTTTTCCCCACTCATGTTCCGTAAGCCTACTCTGTCAGATATTGAAACTAACAGGTCAGCTACCTGAAACAATATCCAGAAGTACTTCCGAAAATAATTTCATCAGGTTGGTAGAACATAGGTTTTCTTTTTACACAGCCGGTATAGACTCTAAACTGTTTATGTTTCGATATCTATCAGGTACTTTCCTCAGACGCTTCTGATTGAAGTCCTGCTTTTCGCCGCTATATGTACAGCCGATACAGGGGGATACAGACTTACCCACGTTTGCAGTAGTGTTCCTGCCACAAAAGCGCCACCTACCTCGGCTACATGTAGTGGCGAGAAGCAGTACTCCAGTCATAAGCTTTGAGGAAGATGTCTGATAGGCATCCAAACGTAAACAGGCTAGAGTTATTATTAGTTGTGTAAAAAAACAACGATTTCCAACATATTGCCAGAAAGGAAAAGGCATACATCATCTCGCCCACTTTTTTATTTATCTATTGATTGATCTTAAAAACCGTTGGGTGGTACCGTTAGTTTAGGACAACTGATTTCCAAGGTAGCCCAACAGAACAAGTTACAAAGGACATAGACAATAAAATGATTAAACATAGAGATAATAAGTAATATGAACAAAGAGTACACGTTATCAATCATTAGAAACAAGACATGTCAACCAGAACAAGTAGTCAAAATAAGGCATAATCATAGTCCGTGTCATTCCAGTCGAAAGATAAGTCAGTCCATGAGGTCATGTGTTTAGTGCTTTCGATGTGGTTGCCTGTTTGGTTTCATCATCTAACAAGTGGGTTCATACTGTAGGTTGGAGTTATCCACTACGACTGTTTGCCGAAGTTAGACATCCAGCTGGGCAGTTATAACATGAAAACAGACCTGCAGGACGCCATCTTGACAGAGATCAGTTTTGACGGTGACCTCACACGGACCGGAAATGCCATTCAATATATGAAAAATACGGTAAACTTAACACTTCCGAATTTTACGTTACAGATGTAGATATACATTCTGACATAGGCTGTAATGAAGATAGCTGTTTTTTTTATTAGGAATAGCTTATCTTTATTCTTTAAGCTCGTATCAGCTGAACGTGTTTATAGCAGGATCTAAATAAATTAGGCAGGAATTGCTTAACACACACACACACACACACACACACACAAGGACGCGCGCGCACACAAACACACACATACACACACACTTGAGCGTACATACACACTCATGAGCGTACACACACGCATAATTATGAATGCACACACACATCATGCACACACAAACACACGCAGGCACGTAGACACAAACACAAACATACGCGCACGTACATTGTATTGATACACACCATGTTACGCAGTACCTGACAGCTCTGACCACTCCTGTGTTCTGAGTAGATTCCGTTCCGCGGGTATGTCCCGAGAGCTGCCGTGATCGTCACGGACGGACGGACCCAGCTGGATGTGGAGGGGCAGCAGGTAAAACTAGGAATACCGTTTCTTAGGATTAACCATTATCTGATATAAGGCTTGCTCTGTTACATATGTGTGGAAATGAGCATATAGAACACCTTAGTATAACACCCAGGATCAGGATAAACTAGGATAAACAGGAAAGGACACGTTCGCTCATCATTTCATTTATAGATAACGTTATTAATATCATGTTTATTACAAACTGCAAATATTCACTGACTTTGTCTTTCCTTTTTGCCAGAATATTTCACCAGTACATTTGAAACTTGTTTTTTCTGGGCAAGGAGCACTATGCAGAATTTTTGCACCGAAACTGAAATATTTTAAATAGAAATTTACATATTTGCCTAATTTCCTCAAATTTCTTACATTTATGGTTTATTCCACCACAAATGTAGACAAACATGGCTGACAACTGTGTTTCTAACTTTTCGACACAAACTCGTAATGCGTCATAGTTTGGTACCTAGAATGTCTGAATGACACTTATTTTCAATTAAATAGTAAATATTTAAGTTATGTTATAATGAAATGACCAGAGAACTGACTTTTTTGTCGTCTCAATGTTACATAAATGCAGCTTTAACTTACTAAGCACCAATGATAATTTATAATAACATTTAGCCGTTTTTAGTTGTAAAATTGTTATCGTTGACCCTCCCCCAGTATGATGACTTTGCGGAAAGTGCCCGTGCCGCGCGGGATTGTGGGATCGAGCTGTACAGTATCGCTGCAGGGCGGAAGCACACTGTGGACACCAGCGAGCTGAGAATGATCACCAACAACCCCGCACGAGTAGTAGAGCTGGACCAGGACAGACCGTGTGCTATAGCCAGCATGCTGGTGAAAGATCTCTGCGGTATGTATCAGTGTTTTATGTAGTATATCTAGTGTAACTTTAGGACACGCACTTACATATATATAGAAGTTACATTGGGTCTAGGTACAATACAAGATACTTAAATTCTAAGTGAGATACTACAATTTGTAAAATGTACAGTCTACATAAACAGCTTAACATCTGTAATCCGTGGTCCCGACTATAACGACTAGTCTTTGGCAGTTCAGTCTATAGTAGACTATCTGGGTCGCGCCTCTGGTGACCTCTCATGTGGCTTGAAAGTCAAGCCTTCGTTTTGTAGACCCTGCTGCATACTCTGCATGTGTGTTATGTGCAGTTTGGTGCAGTTTGTGCTGCAGCCTTTCGCAGTCTCCGTTTCTCTGCTGCAGCTTCTCCTCTCCTCTTACCTGCATCTGCAACACCGTTCTGTACAACTCTGCGCCAGGCAGCTCTGTCCTCAGTCTGCGCTTCCCAGGTGTCTGTTGCTATGCCAACTGACTTCATGTCCCTCTTGCAAATGCCCTTGAAACGCAATGCTGGACGGCCAAGTCGTCTGGATCCAGAGGTTAGTTGTCCATACAGAACATCCTTCGGAATCCGTCCGTCCTCCATACGCCTGACATGCCCTAGCCAGCGGAGGCGGCGTTGGCTGAGGATGGAGTAGATGCCCTGTATCTTTGCTTTTGACTTACGACTAACACAACCTTATTCTCATCATCAATGAAACAAGATGGAACAAGAACTTAGCAAAAGCTCTAAGAGAGATAAGAGATGCTCGATTTCTTGTTATATGTGTTCTGCTTCGTTTCCTGTAGACGTGAATCAGCTGTGCCGGTCCATCGGCGGTGTCTGTACCAGTGATACAGACTTCTGTGCCGGGCCGTTCGTGCCAGGATTGTGCGGAGGGAACCTGACCTGCTGCGCTCCACAAGGTAGGCTGAAACTACAACAGAAACAAACAAACAAACATACTACAATAAGATGCAATTTATGCAAATAGATTATGACCTAATTCATATGAGGAAATTCGATAATTCCAGTTTGTATATGCATGTCGTGAACATACAATCTAATACCGTGTAATTTGCAAATTTGTTAATCACCAAAAGGTCGCCGACTTTCAGTCACCGTACAGTTTATATTTGAAAATCTATCTCTAAAAATCGGTATCGAGAGGACATTGGCCGTACTACTGCCGAAAATGTACTTGTTTAATCGTCTTGGGACCTATTCACGTATCTGCTGTGTGACGCCTGTTTATTTTACTTAGCCCGTCATACTAGCCGGATGCACTACCGAACACTGCCGAACTCCCCAAAGCATGGTTACGTAGGAGTAGGTCGGGTGCAAGGTCGGCTGGTGTTCGGCTGCGCCAGCCATATGTTTCAGAATATTGAAAATATTCGCTTGTGGACCGAAGGTTCGGCTATGGTTGGCTGATGGTTGGGGAGTACATGTTGGTCAGCGTTCGTCGGGCCTTGGTTGAGAGTCAAATTTGACTTTAACTCTATTTGATTAGTATATAAAGTTACAAGCGTGGCCTAAATCTGATCAGGCAGTTCCTGAACTTCAGCCAACTTTGATTGGCGTTGGTCGGGGGAAGGTTGTGAACCTGTGGCAGATGCTTTACAGACGAGCCGTGTGTTGCAGACGAGCCATGCCGAGCCATGGGCGGGGTGTGCCAGTTTGACGACCTGCCCTGCCCGGGACGACATCTGAACGGACTGTGTGGAGGGCCGGCCAACAGGAAGTGCTGCATTGACTGCTGTCAGCAGCCAGCTAGCAACAAGGGTGGGCGTGCTTCTTCTCTCTTTATATATTATACGCCATCTATTATTGTCCTAATGATATTCACACACACACACACACACACACACACACACACATAATGAACGACGGACACACACATATATACACATACACATGAATGTACATACACAGTCATACACTTTTCCTTTGTTCATGTTAATATTAGAAAAAAAAAGAATAAAAAATAGAACAATAAAAAAAAGAACAACAGCGGGACTTGTGCATGACTGTAGCCGCCACGCATCAGCAACTAATGCCCGCGGCTGATTGACTGATTGATTGATTGATTGAGGTAATATTTTGCTCTGTTTCTTCTTCTTCTCCAAACAAATAAGGTCAATGACCTGAACCAGACATCTGTCACCATGGTAACTAGTATTGGGTTACATCATGTTGCAATTTTATAGCAGGAGGGATGTAGATTCCTGTCACCATATAATATGAATGGGCTTGAGTTAGAATTATCAGAGAAGACCATATGCGAAGGTTAACATTATGCATTTACTTTGCAAATGTTACCTTTCTAGTACATGTATGATTTTCTCTTTTCAGCTACGTACAGAAGTTTGGGTTGCTGGACAGATAGCAACAACCGTGCAATCCCCCCACTGGAAGGCCTGGATCCCAGACTACAAGATCCTTACCGTCTGCGAGAAAACGCCATAGAAAAGTGCTACCAGGCGGCCAGAGACCGAGGCTATGATGTCTTTGCTGTCCAGGACGGAGGCTGGTGCGCGTCCTCGTCTGCTGCACGGGAAGCCTACAGACAGTACGGGCCGTCTCACCGCTGTGCGAACAACGGGAAGGGCGGCGACTGGGCCAACCACGTCTACGAAATCATATCATCATAGCACAACCGTGTTTCTTCCTAGCCTGGTATCCAGTCTGATTCGTGGTCTGGGCCGCAAAAGCTCTGGCCTGCCCGCCTCACATAAGTTTCCAGGTGTGTATTTCACGAGAGATTGGTTAGCCCTCCACGTGTTGGGGGAAACCAAATCCCCAAGCATACTGTCGTATTATTAGCGTAACACTCCTACCGGGACGGCCTGTTGCACTGGGCGGGGGAAGCTATTAGAGCCCCCGAAGGTACAACCTGCCCGAACACCTTAATACCCCCAAACTGGATACCAGGCTAGTTTCTTCTACGTGTAGGAATTTATATGGTACAACTATGTTTCTCCACGTGTAGGAATGTATAGTACAGCTGTGTTTCTTCCACGTGCAGGAATTCAATATAGTACAACTGTGTTTCTTCCACGTGTAGGAATTTATATAGTACAACTGTGTTTCTTCCACGTGTAGGAATTTATATAGTACAACTATGTTTCTTCCACGTGTAGGAATTAATATGGTACAACTTTGTTTCTTCCACCTGTAGGAATTTATATAGTACAGCTGTGTTTCTTCCACGTGTAAGCATCCATATAGTACAGCTGTGTTTCTTCAACGTGTAGGAATTTATATAGTACAGCTGTGTTCCTTCCACGTGTAGGAATTTACATAGTACAGCTGTGTTTCTTCCACGTGTAGAAATTTATATAGTACAGTTGTGTTTCTTCCACGTGTAGGAATTTATAGTACAACTGTGTTTTCTTCCACGTGTAGGAATTTATATAGTACCACTATGTTTATTCCACGTGTAGGAATTAATATGGTACAACTGTGTTTCTTCCACATGTAGGAATTCATATAGTACAGCTGTGTTTCTTCCACGTGTAGGAATTTACATATTACAGCTGTGTTTCTTCCACGTGTAGGAATTTATATAGAACAACTGTGTTTCTTCCACGTGTAGGAATTTATATAGAACAACTGTGTTTCTTTCACGTGTAGAAATTTATATAGTACAACTGTGTTTCTTCCACGTGTACGAATTTATATAGAACAACTGTGTTTCTTTCACGTGTAGAAATTTATATAGTACAACTGTGTTTCTTCCACGTGTAGGAATTTATATGGTACAACTGTGTTTCTTCCACGTGTAGAAATTTATATGGTACAACTGTGTTTTTTCCACGTGTAGGAATTAACATTCTACAACTGTGTTTCTTCCACGTGTAGGAATGTATATACTATATATAGTGCAACAGTGTTTCTTCCACGTGTAGGAATTTATATTGAACAATTATGTTTCTTCCACGTGTAGGAATTAACATAGTACAACTGTGTTTCTTCCACTTGTAGGAATTTATAGTACAACAGTTATGCTTCGTGTAATTTCAACTGAGAACAATTGAAATCTTATTGTTTCGAACTGTGTCTACATGTGTCAAACAGTAATATTCAAAGTCTTGGAAAGACCGTAAAAAGACAGCGGTGGTGTGTTTGATATTAGGATTATTTGCCAGTTATTGCTTTCTCACCTGTGCAGTCTTAAAAGTTTACCAGAGCGCAAATGTTCCATCCATACAACGTTAACCCTACCTAGACCGGGCTTTTTTTGACATGGGGGGACCGGGGGGGGGCTCTTTTGACCCCCCCCTAAGAACTCGCGAACGGTATGTCGTATGACCACCAAATTTTCAGAGAATGGTGTACTAGTGAAAATGTATCATATCTACAATTTTTATGTCGTTATGACGTAATATGACGTCATTATGACGTCATTAATGTGATTTTATTGGCCAAAACCGTCTAAATAGGTTCTTCCCTGAAAACCTCCCTGGTATACAACATAACTTTACCAAAAGTGTTTATGACAGAATATTAGTGTGTACTAAGTCTTATGTTGCCCATAGCAACACCGGTGACGTCATAAAATGACGTCATGCATATTTAAGATATCCGCCATCTTGGATCATCAATCTTGAATTTTCAAAAATAGTTTTTTTTTTCATGATAAAGCCTAAAATACATTGTAAACATACTAAACACCTTCATTTAAACCTTTTTTGTAAAAAGAAATGGAAGTATTGATGAAATTTTAATGAAAATAACCCGTATATACCTGTTCTAATGATATGGTCCGCCATCTTGGATTTTGGCCAATGACGTCATAAAATTAGCATAAATTATGCATATTTAATGATAAAATTTACATAAAATTATATGGGATGTTATTAATATTAGAAACCATGAGTAACTTGACATAAAACCCATAAAATTCTATTGTTGAAACAAAAAGTACTAAATTTAGCAAAAAATGCCTGTCAGAAACCCGTTGCCATGGCAACACAAAAAATTATTATCTTATTCCAATGATAGAGAATTGTTGCCAACAATATTTTAGGAAAAGTCACCAAGTTTGGTCGTTCTACGGCTAGCCATTCAGACGCTAGGTGACATCAAAGTTGCCGCGGGCACTTTTAGCCCCCCCCGGTCTAGGTAGGGTTAACGAACAAACACATTTGCGGTTCTTCTAAAACGCAATATTTACACCTTTAGTGAGGTAAAGGTACAATGCACAGAGCTATCGGCTGTGTTTGTGTGTTTGACACCTGGGTTAACCTTCACGCCGTGTGATACTGGTCGGGCTGGTTGTGTCGGCCGGAAGAACGACCCACCAAATATGGCGAAGCTGTATCAACCATTACAAAGACACGGACCAAATCACCGTAACACGAACATCATACAGACGACAATAAGGTGTACCAAACTGGGATTTTCTAACCTTAAGGAATAATTAATCATTTTAAAAGACATACTAATTTAGTAGCAACTTTTTTGTTCAATGCCGACAAAAAGAGTACACTACAGGGCACGAGTTGTCGCTCGCCTTGTCCCTTTCTGCCGCCTGCCGTTTTGTAATGTTACCTGTAAGCTATTGTTCACATGGAACACACTTGCGATTAACCGCACTGAACGGTAAAATTCACAACGTTTGTAAGGTCACGTGGCGTACCTGTAGTGGTCGACTCAAAACCAAGAGGTCCCGAGTTCGAATCCTGCCATGCCACTGATCTTGTGTCCTTCAGAAAGGTACTTTACACGACTTCCCCCACTTTACTTAGGTGAAAGCGAGTATTTTATTTCCTCTATGTTGGTGATGGCTTTAAAAAAGTTAGAAAAACTTCCGTCGCCATGCATTGTGATAAATGTGAGAAAAAATATGTTAGTAAGGTCAACATACGCAAACCTCGGCTACAAAGGCCAGGGATGGATATCACGGGAGTAAAGTTCAGCATGTTTCCATAGCGACATGTCTATAAAATCATGAATACTGAGATTATCTCTTGTTATCACCCGGTATATGTATATGAGAGCAATAACACAGAAGTTTCTGTGTTGTCGATGTAGTTATCACCTGTGCATGAAGAAAAGAAAAAGCACATAGAATATGTTGCCCTTCGGGACAACAGTGATAATTTGAGACGTCCCTCCCAGGTGTAGGCCCCGAGGATCTACATAATAAGCGACGACAGAGTATACTTAAGCGGTTTAGAAAGGAGCAAAAAGACCTGGAAATAGTACGAACACCTTAAGGAAACCAGGCGACACCTTCGGCAAAATCCCTCAGAACCACCTAAGACGCGGCGTGTGCAAAATCTGAAGTTAGTTCGAGCCATGACGTCAACCGCGACGACTAATTACGACATACACTCCAAAAGTAGCGAACTGGAAACGGCTAACCCCTGACATTGGTAATTAGACATCATTGCAGCGTCGGTAATCTTCAAAAGGCGCTCTATCACGTGCACGAGTCCACCGTCATCATATCATATAATGAGACGACGATAATTACTGCGGACGGAGCTAAAGTCATAGGAAGTAAATTGTATGGATATCATCCCTTGCGGACTCAAAATCTATGAAAACAAGGAAAAGATTGGGGAGGAGGGGGACAAGATCCCAAAATTTTCACAATCGAGTCTCTCGTAAAACTATACAGTCAAGGCTAACTCACTAGTCTCTCTTTTACAGCAACACTCAAGGCATCGCCGAAGGGGAACGACATTTACTTCTCTCCAAAATTAGGCAGAAAATTTTATTCTTGCCTTGATGTGAGCCATGGTATTTTCTTGATGCGGCCAATCTGCTATACCAAACCTGACGCCCCGTCCCAAACCGGCCAGTTTGAGTCCAGCCGCCCTGCAGCGAGCATCCTGTCCGCCGTTGCCGCGAGTAGAGGCTCCGGGGCCGACTGCGTGTCAACATGGGGTGAGTTTGTTGTCATCTTGGCATGATATCAGCTTGGCACAGAGTATAGCTTTACCAACAGAAATTCTTTCTCCTACCTTCTATAGGAACCCAATATTTCCAGCAATGTTGCTGTGGGACTACCCAGCACTTCCAGGACCTGGATCCGGTGTTGCCCGACAGGGAATGCGACACGCCGTGCTGGGGAAATCCGAACGAGATGTGCGGAGGAATATGGAGGATGACGGTGTATGGATCCAGCGGTAGGGCGGGCAGCATGTCGACTCTGCTAGGCCTCGGGAGGCGACTGGAAAGAGTTGATCCCTATTTGTCCAATTTCTACTATTCTACTCGGGTCTCTATTTGGCCAATTTCTACTCTATCCATCCGCCTCCCGAAGCCTGGTAGAGGTTATTCAGCAAGTACAAAATAGAATTCCTATTATTTACCACTGCACTGATTTTCATTGATAAGTCCTATTAATTGTACCTCTTATTCTTAGTTGTATAGTGTCATAAACCCTACTTTAAATTTAAGGATCCTCTTAGCTTAATCAAGGCGATTGATATATAATTTTTTACTCATAAAGGCTAACATCATTTGGCGAAGTTATGAGATAGTGGAAATCTAGTTTTACATGTTTCTGTCAACTATACTTTAAGCGTCATTCACGTTGTTGAAACATTAGCCAATTTAAATCTATTTCATACATTTCATTCTTTTAATATGCCTGTCTATTTCGACCTAGCCCTAAAGCCTTGATCTCTTGTTTAAAAACAGTAATATCTTGTAACTATCGTTAATACCTTCCACTTCTTCTTCTTGATACCATTTTAACCATTCGACAGTCGCAGTACGTTTGGAGCGACGGTGGTGTGCTGGGCCCTGGTGACTACAGCAACTGGTCTCCCGGCCAACCGGACACAATTTACGGGGAAAGATGCGTGGAGATCCGTCCTCAGTTCAACTACCAGTGGAACAACCATCACTGCTGGCTACTGAAGAACTACATTTGTGAGAGAGGTACGTTCCTACAGCTTTATTTGCCATTGACAAAAAATACAACGCCCTCATTATCACCTGCACGGTATGCCTTAAATTCAGTACATGTAATGATCATAGCGATAATGTAGTAGCCTGGGTGTCATTCGATTTTTACGGGGCTCGTTGCACTACCTGGAAAAAATCGATTACATGCAAGAGACGATTACATGAAATGAATGAATATATTCAAATCACCAAGTATGTGACCGTATCCAGTCGACATTTTCGGGCTGGTTAGTGGGTGAGGATGCAGATGGGTAGTAATAAGGCTGTGGTGGTTTTGGTGGACATAGTCGTAGACATAGCAATAGTTTTAGACAATTAGATTTCATTATGTACATTTTAAATTTACTTTATACCCTGTTGCAGAGTTCTTTTGTGTTTGTTACTTTTAATAGCCTTCGGGCATGGGTTTGCAATAAACTTCTCTCTTATTAACGTCTTACTAACCTAACATCGCCATCTATCACCATATAAACAGTCGCAAGACCGCCCTACTGCCCACGCCCGCGGATCTACGTGTCAGACCCCGGGTTTACCGTCTCCGATGATCACACCTACCGACTGTCTCCTCCCGAGCAATGCCCTACGATCGCTGAGGAGCTACCGACGACCCTTGATCCTGACGACCCCGCCTTGCAATGAGGTACCAGTGGGCTCAGTGAGACCTTCTGGTCAGACCAGTTGGCTCTGTGGAAAAGATCTAGTTTCTGGCGACTCGCAGTAGAATGTGTTTAATATTACATGAGCTGTAGTCCTGTTATTTCATCAGCAGGGTGCAATGTCAGATTAGAGTTTGATGATCACACGTGTAGCGTTTCTAGTCAGTACAGATACGTAACATAGCAGTTCTAGTGCTTGCTTTTGGCGTATTTTGCGGATAGAGTTTTTCTAAAGCTACATATTCAGTCTTTTTGCTGCATTCTGATAAGAAAAAGTCATTTTAGAAAGATGATATTCAATTTTTATGCAATATTTGGAAGATAAAAGTAGATGGTTTCAGCTGTATAACCATTAATACATCTTTCAGTAGCAAATATTGGATTATAGATGTAGGTAGAATCATCTACTAGATATGGAGGGCTCTTACATTACTTTAATAAGCAATACGCAAAGTAATAATGTATCCTACAGTAGAAATAGTCCTCAAAATAATCAAAGTTAACAAACTAAGACAACATGTTTAAGCGGGCTGTCACCAAGGATTCAAAGCTTGCCAACAATATAAAGAAGGTACAGTTGTCAAAGGAGCTAAACGTTAACCTCTTTGCTTCTCTAAACCTAGATCCACCTGTCAACAACAACAACAAAAAACACGTAAGTTAACCTTAACGAACAAGCTATCAAGACTAAATAAAGGAATGCCCCCTAAAATTCTTTCGTACTAGCAAAGATCTCAACACAACAATCAGTAGACTAAGTATGTTATAGACACCTTTAGAACTGCTGGGCAAGCAACCTGGAAGGAATATGTTTAATGTCGTTCTAATTTTGCCTTTTCATTTACATAATATATAGAGTGTATATTATATGAGTGTTTATTAAAGCTCGGCAATATAGCAACTATTTCTTGGGTACCACAGGCTAATTTTCATATTAGATATTAGATGAAAAATCGAGTTATTTTTCCCACATCTGGCTATAAAAGCTAACGCGGGATCGCACAGAGCTCAAACGGGTGCGGTTCTCAAAGCCGCACCAAAGACACCGTCAGTTAATGGAGGAGGAGCGCCCTCTGGCGTCCTGAAAGTAAAGGACTGCAGCAGGGTGGAGAAAAACAGGAACAGCTCCATCCTGGCCAGCTGCTCACCAAGACACACGCGTCGGCCTGGAAATAAGGAATTTCAAAAAGTAAGACAAGCCAAACGACAAATACTGAAGTTACTATCGTCGTACAAATGATAGGTCTGATATACCTCCTCCGAAAGGCATGAAGGACTCAGGCTTGTTGATGACGTTCCCTTCCGGGTCCAGAAACCTTCCGGGGTCAAACCGGTCCGGATCAGGCCAGTAGGCGGGGTCCATGTGGAGGGACCACAGGTTAACAAGCACCTGGATCAAAGGAAATAGAGAGTACGTTAATACACACACACACACACACACACACACACACACACACACACACAAACACACACACACACAAACATTCACCTGCACACACACGCAAACAAACACACCCAAACACACACAGCAAACGTGACGGTTCATGCAGTAGATCTATCCTTCGAGTTGAAATGGATCGTCACTGGATAAATCTCAGTCATATGGCCAAAATTAGATAAAGGGGCCACTTTTCTAACGTTAGAGCTAGCGATACCTGGGTGTCCATAGCTACTTCATATTCCCGCATTTTGACCGTCTCTGTGGTGAAGTGGGGAATCGCGAGAGGTCCGACAGGCCGGATCCTCATAACCTCCAGCAGACAGGCGTTCACGTAGGGAAGCTAGGGACGGTGGGACAGGGTGGGCAGACTCTCACCAACAACGGCATCAAGCTCCTGCTGCACCTGTTAACGGTACATTATGTTGAGTAACCCCTATGAGACATTGCATTCATAGTAGGAAATACAAGGACTGGGGATCTGCAGTTAACACTAACTGAAGCTTAGATTTTAAGTGATCTTTGCCAGTGTCTAGTCTGACATAGCTACACACGGTGACGCTTGATGCTGACCAGTGCCTTATTCTGGATATCGGCGTTCAAAGTCATGTAACAAAGTCGGCGTCAGACCCTCCACCTTCTCCTGCTTCTCAACCTCCATCAGGCAGTAGTCGAGGAAGTCTCGTGGGTTCTCGCGGTCCAGGGTCTCGCGATGGCGTGATATCTGCTGTCTTATCACATTTTGGATCTTGGAGGACCCTTTCAACGCATTGATGCTGGCTCTATTCACTGTAAAGTGCCCCGGGGAACAGTTACAATCAAACGTAAGGTCCTATCATGAAAGTTCATCTTCAACACTGAGTGTTGGTCAAGTTAAGATATTGTTTAAAGTCACTGGGTCAGTCTACCGAAGAAGACCAGAGGAACTGGTCGAAAGCTCTAGTGAGAAAATATACCTTGTGTTGGATCAAAAGTTTAAGCTTTAAACATGAATGTAAGGTAACTTCTTAATCTTGCTATTCTCAATTCTTACTGAGTAAATCTATCATAATGATTCCTAATCTTAATCTTAATTGCGATGCTAACATGCATAATTTTTTTATGCAAATTATATATTTCTATCGCTAAAAGTATATGTGATACGTATAGCAATAGAAATATGTAATTTGCCTGTAAGACTATACTACTTACAGATTCATGTTATTTATTGGAATGAAATATCCCAGTACTCTATACCTACCGATAGGAACAAATCGTAGCAAGGGAAAAGCGTCGATGATCTGCCCAGCTCCAGCTTCAGCCATGATCACGAAAACCGCGTCTGCCAGTTCCCTGAACGTCTCGTCCCTGTAGTCATACCGCTTCCCCATTAGCATAGAGCAGATGACGTTGGCGAAAGCCACGGTGACGTCATAAGCGATGTCAGAGGGGTTCTCGTTGTATTCTGCAATCTGAACAGAATTTGCAAAATGTGTATGTTCAAAATGATGAATTTGTCCACGTTGAAAAGGTCTCATAAGTTAGCCAGGGGTATTGTTATTACCTTCGCCAAGAAGGTTATGTTTTCAGTAGCGTTTGTCCGTTTGTCCGTCTGTCCGTTTGTGAACAGCATAACTCAACAAGCTTAATATGCATTGTCATGAAACTTGGTAGGCAGGTAGGTCTTGATGAGACCTAGAAATGATTGGATTTTGAACCCCCTGGCGGCTTTTGTTGGGTTAAGTTAAGTGAAGGCGAACATCAATACACATAATTTATTCACATCATGACCTCGTTTGCATAATTTACGAGGAAGTGCTATAATAGCCTTTTTATTAAGATAAGGCTGTCGTTGGGTGGAGAATATGACCAACTGATATAATCCATGCAAATGAGGCTCTTATTTGCAAAATCAATGATTGAAATTGTATAATTCCTCAACCGCAAGGGTTATCATCATTTGGTGAAGGTATGAGATCGTGGAACTCTTGTTTTACATATCACAGACCACATGATATTTTGTTAGAATTGATGATCCCTCATTATTGTACATGTGTTATCATTGACTCATTGCAAAATACATAAAAATGGTGATAACAGAAAAAAGTACTGTATATTATTGGCGATTAAACCTTTCGGCATACTGCTCATGGGAATGCCCCCAGTACTTCTAGTATCACAAAAATATTCCAGTGAAAAAGATCAGGGTTTTACATGGTTCATCCTTGGTTTCACCTTACCGTGTTGCGGAGACAGCTCGCCTCCTCTCGGATTTTCTCCTCAATGCTGCCAGTTCCGATCTTCATGCCCAGTTTCTTTAGGACGGCGCCGGCAAACCTCTTTCTCTGCCTGAACTCGGTTCCCCAGCATGCAAAATCTATGTCTGTCGGAACAAACAGCACGTCTTCGTGATTCACTACCATACATGTCACATCTTGGTGGATGTCCCAACTACTAAGTACCTAATTCCAGCCCAGAAGAGAACAAGAAATAGCCATGCATTAAAGTACCAGAGTTATCAACCAAGGATTGAGGTGTTCAAGAATTCATTATTTCCTAGAACTATCGCAGAGTGGAACTCACTGTCACCAAGTACAGTAGGGGCGTTGTCAATAGATAGCTTTAAACAATGTCTAGAGCTAGAAGTTCAAGGGTTAGGTGTAACAAGTCGATCGGTGTAATATAGCCAGCTGCCACCGCACCGCGTGCCTGCGAAGCTGGTGTGTTACGCCGAAAGGCGGTTATACCGGCTATACAGATACAGATACAGATCTTCAATTCATGCTGATAATTATAAAAGGACACCAGACGACATTGACCATTTCTGCCACATGATTAACAAAGTATTCACGACCGTCTTAGCTTTCTGTTGTAAGTTTTTATACGTCGAATTAAGTTTTTATTGTTCGAATTATGTGAAGAAAAGCACACTGTGAATACAGGCTTACCTTTTCCAAAACCAAGCATTGCATTAGCCAGGTAAGCTGCCGGCCTGGAGGCGAACAGCTCGGACCTGTCCACGAGCGCGTCCTTGACGGCAGCGTAGCCGTTCAGAACCACCACATCTTCCATCCCCATCCTGACGGTGAAGACGTCCCCGTACTGCCGCCTCCACGCCGTCAGCTTGAGGTGAGGCGCTCGGCCCAAGGCAAGGAGGTGCCCGAGAACAGGCACACGTCCTGCCGGGTAGGGAGGCAGGTTTCTGCGGCACTTCAAGAGGAAACATGCCAGGAAAAAGACTGTACAGAAGACAAGAAAAGACCGCAGAGTCAGCTCAGAGATCTGCAAAATCTCCCGGACAGACTCAGTTACCCAGCCGACAATGGCGGCCATGTTTGCAAAGAATGCGCAAATATAGCCTTTTGCTTGCGGCTATGACCCGAAGAGGTCGTCTGTCTGGCATGGTTACACGTACACCGACACAACCGGTCTGTCTCACTCTGGCGTATTTACTGATTGTCTCTCCTTTGTTCTATTTGCACATTTCAGACCACAGTTTTGTTAATCGTCCCGTAAATTAAGGGAGAGTCACAGCCTCACATACAGGAAAAAACAGGAATTCATAGATCTCATACCTCCATTTAATATATGAGTTTTTCTAAATCTTATTCATTTGTCTCATTGACTATGGAAATAAGGTCGCAATTAGGCCACAGCAAGTAAATTTTATGGATGACATCCTCCGCAGACTCCAGATCTAATGCGAGCGGGCGAAAAAAAAAACAAGACGGGCCCAAAAAACAAGGTTCCTACATTTTAGAATTTTAAGTCAATCATTGTACAAATGGTTTTGATTCAGTGGAAACATCACATATACACAGCCAGCATCACATATCACTGCATCAAAGTAAGAAATAGAACATTAAATCAGGGCCTTTTCTTGTCTGCTCTCTTCATAGTTATCTGCCAACCACATTCCGGTATGGCGACTGACATCTTTGCCCATTTTCGGCATGGTGACCACTGTCAGAAGGCAACAAAATTTCTTTTTTTTTTTTTCCAAAATCAGGCGAAAATTAATGCGCGCGCTGATGTCATCCATAAAAATTACTTGCTTTGGCCTTAGCACAATTTAGTTTAGTTTATGGTTTTCTAACTTCAACTATTTTCGTGTAAAATTCCTCTCCTTTGTCAAGCTTCATTTCAACATGTCCTCATTAATTATGCAAATGACCTCTACATTAACTTACACATGTCACAAGGTCTCGGACCGGAGTAGCAATTTGACACCCTCAGGCAGACGGGCTGTCATTTCTGTAAGTCGTGTACATTTTTAAGTAAGAGGTTCTTTTTTTCGTCATGGAAAAAAAAAAAGAATTTTCCTAGGGTAACGACTTAGTACTCGAAGAAGCTCAGAACCTAATGTTTCCGAAATTTAAGATTGATTACAATCGATGTGATACGTTTTTCCGCTATCTTTGATGGTCCGAACACACCCCCAATACATATAGAACGCACCATCCCGGGGATCAGCCGACAAGGCCACATAACCATTGCACCTCTGCTAGTTGTCTCTCCACATACAAAATACATACTAAAACAGTAATGATACAAAAATGGACAATTTAACTGACAACATGCTATAAAATATTAAGATATATAACAATATAGTGACAAGTATAGGGCAATTATCGCGGCCTTGTGGCCATACAGGTTGTACATCTGCAAAGGATATCTAGCTACATGTACATGCAGCATCGGTGTCATAGTCTGCATTAAACCTGTTATGTAAATGTATTATCATCTGTCTTTTGAAGGTATTCAAGTGTTGTGGCTGAGAGACTGACATCCAAACTGTTCCATATACATACAAGTCTTGGGAAGTACGACATAGCAAACTGCTGTGTTTTAGTTCTAAGACTCATTTGCAGGCTGAATAAATAATAGAAATCGGCCTAAATGGGGTATAATTGGCCAGGGGAAGCCAAATTGAACCTCTGACTGTGGTCGGCTACCTCCCTGACCAATCATATTCCCTTCTCATCCCGATTTGTACTATCTATTCAGCCTGCACAAGAGTCTGGCGGAGACTATAAAAACGAGTCAACGTTTTCCGCATGGACCAAGCTGCATCTTCACCGCGCCTCTTCTGTGTAGCTCCCTGTGGAAGTCATATTCCTGGTCGACGTTGTGTAACTCATCGAAGCCGTTCATCAAGGGAGGGTTGCGGCGAGAGTTGACGTTGTCGTTTGGGAAGTAGTGGTAGGGAACCGCCACGTTGTTCTTGTCCTTAAAAAAGGGGAAGAACCCGTAGATGTAGGCGTGGTCACAGAAGGACGTCATCATCAGCACGCTCACGAGACCGATGGTGGGCGTCTTTTTCATGCTCCTCCCAGCTATTTTAGATGCAAGCCTGGTTCCGATTGTAAGAGGGAAGAAAGAAAAAAAAAGGTGGTTATTCGTCGCCAGCATTGCATGTGGATATGCCTTGTGGGTTGTGTTCGCTTTTCAGTTTGGAGGTCGCTGGTACATTTGCGAAATTAATGAGAAATTGCGTAGTGATAAATGATATAGGGTTATAACAACTGTAAGCTGGGTGGACGTTGAATTTATTGAAGATGAATTATGTAAATAAAATCGTCTACAATATCTTATAGTCATTGAGAAACAATGTTGGCCAAAATTCTTGATGGTAAGATATGTCATGCAATATCTAATAAGTAGGGACAGTAAAAGACTTTTCTTCTTGACCTTGATTTGAGTTTGAGAAATGCTTTCACTCTCGTACCCCTCACACACACACACACACACACACGCGCTCTCTCTCTCTCCCCTTTCTTTCAATGTTTTAACGGATAAACATGTTACTTACGGCATAACGCCCTTCCTCAGCTTATTCTCTGTAATCACCACTGAAAAGGGTAGCTTGTAAACTGGTAAAGCCTCCATGATTTTTCGTCTCGCTCTGTAGTCTCCAAGCAGGACAGAATTCTTCACGTCCTGTAGTCGACTCTCGTACACATCGAGAGATCTGTTTTCAAAATGTGAAGACTCCGCCAGTCGCCGAGGCGTTTTGAGGTTGAGTATTGTCATATTAGTCCGCCCGCCAACGTCCTCCTCGAAACCTATTTATCAAGATCATAAATATTAATATGGTATAAATATTAATTAATGAGGAGTAAACGTGCCAAACTTTCAAATTATATAAATGTAAAATAGTCTCCGCTTGAGAAACAAGCTCCGTTCTTTTGTACAAGTCAAGATAGGGGGATCTAGAGAGGGCTGAAGAATGTACTAACGTTACCTATGCTTTTAAAATTCTACTACAGTATTATACAAGTTTTTTAAATGTATTATTGTAATGAAAGGTATTACATTTTACACGTGGTTAGTGAAGTTAGTGGTTTGTAATTTTAGTGTTAACCCTATCTAGACCGGGCTTTTTTGGGCTTGGTGGGACCGGGGGGGGGGCTCTT